TCCAGGGAGCGCCCTGCATAAGTAGCTAACGCCAGGATAATCTCAGTTCGCATTTCGCACAGCTCAACACAAGTGGCTTTGGCACTTTGAGAATTCTCAAAAGCAAGATCTCGACCTGGCCCACCCGTCGACTGCCAACCATCTACGATGAGCCGCTCCACGACCAAGGACGACAAGGAGCGGTACCTTACGTACTCGATTACAGTACGCCCTGCGAACCAAGAAACTGGAGTGCAAGAAGAAGGCGTGACGAAGAAGATGGCCAAGTTCATCGAAGGTGGTCCAAGGGACTTCCTGGACTGGATCTACCACTTCGACCAGCTCGCCAAGCTCAAGAGTTGGAATCCTGAAGACAAAATTCTCAACGCCAAGATCCTCCTGGAAGGAGACTTGCTGGAGGCGTTCGAAAATGCAGAAGAAGGAGAAGACGGCGACATCCGAATGGACGAAGAGTTTACCAGCACGCTATACAAGGTGTCCAAGGTTGTGCTGCCTGTCGACTACAACGAAAAGATACAAGAAGAACTATGGGAAATTCGCAAGACCCGAGTTGAATCGCTCGCGGACTACAGCAAACGATTCCGTGCTCTCGTGCGTCAAGAACACACCCTCGCCGATCTCAGTCAAACCTCCAAGATGTGCGACGACGCACTGTGTCGCTTATTCAAGCGTGGCCTTCCGTACGACTGGCAGAACAAGTACGATGCCAGTGGCCAAGTGTACACCACCATCGGCGCCTTGGTCCCGTTCTTTGAGCGCATTGAACAAGGAGAGCAGCGGCTGCACCGCCATGACTCTCAGAATGCCAGCCGTCGGCAGAACGGAGGCAACAATGCCGGCCGTCGTGGCTACGGCAACAGAGGCAACAATCGCCAGCAACCTCGTGGTGGCAATCGTGGTCGCGGTGGACGCGGCAACGGCAATAATCCCGGCAACAACAGTGGCAACAATTCCCACAGCAGCGGCAACAACAATTCGGGAGGCAACAAGTACTGCACCTTTCATCGTACAACAACTCATATTACGGCCGACTGCCGCTCGCTTCGCCATGACAACAACCAGCAGGAAGAATACCACCAAGCTGACCCACGGAGTGCCTCACAGCGCCCGCCAACTCGAACGGAACAGCGACGCTCAGGAGTAGGAAGCTCCAGCGATGACGAGTATTTGTTTGTGGGTATCAACGACACGCATGTTGACGAACAACCACCGATGCGCGTGATGATTAAACTGGAATCCGGAACAGATCGATTTCAAGCACTACTTGACAGCGGCTGCTCGCGTAGTATTATCAGCACAGCTTTCATGCAGAAGCTGCACGCAGCAGGAAAGCACCGCAGTGGGCTTCAAGTTAGTCCAGGGAAGCGCTTCTAGTGAAGGCGCCATGAAGGTTCGCTTCCGTATCCCTCAGCTCAAACGTGATACAGTGATAATTCACAAGTTCGAGGTGCTA